CCTGCCTCTGCCTCCCAAGTGCTGGGATTAAAGGCGTGCGCCACCACCGCCCGGCTAAAAGAGTACTTTTTAATAAGATTACTTCACCTTAGTTTATCTATTCATCTTCTTGCTATCTATTATTTTTCTAAACATTAAATGTTCTGTTTATTTTAAAAATATTTTTATTGATCCTTTGAGAATTTCAGGCAATGTATTTTGAATATATCCACCCGCAATTTGTCCCATCACTACCCTCTCCGGCCCACCCTCCCTTCAACCCAACCTATCAAGTTCCGTTTATATTGCACAACTTGCCTGCGTGTTTGTCTGTGTACCACATGAATGCAGGGCCTGCTCAGGTCAGAAGAGGGCATTGAGTCCTCTGGAACTGGAGTTACAGTTTTGAGCTGCCATGTGGGTGCAGGGTCCTCTTGGAAGGGCAGCAAGTGCTCTGCACCTCAAAGCCATCATCTCTCAGGCCATAGACCCCCCGCCCCCCTAGCCTTAGGAGTAAGGAGGCATGCCCTGGCATGTGGTCAGCCTACCAATGGTCATCATTAAAGAACACTGACTCTTCCTTCCCAGCAGCTATCAATGCCAGTAGTTCTTGAGCTAATGTTGAAATTCTGTGCCTAATTTCTCCCCTCTAAACCAGGATATTTTTCTGCCTTGAATGTGTATAGGTCTTGTGCATAGTGTCACAATTCATGTGAGTTCATACATGTAGCTACCCTATCATGTCTGAAAAACACCTCTTCCTTAATGTTATCCACTCCCTCTTCCACCAAGATCCCTGAGCCTTAGAGGGAGGGGTATGATATCTGTGTCCCATTTAGGGATGAGCACTTCACATTGTGTTGTTGTTGTTGTTGTTAAATTCTCTGCCTATTGAACAGCTGAAGTAATCTGTGTTAATTGCCATCTACTGCAAGAAGAAGTCTCTTGAGGATGGGTGGAAATGCTATGATCTACAGGTGTAGCAATAAGTTATCAACAACTAGCCTGACAAGATATGACCACTGGCGCTATTAATAGTAGCATGGATGGCGTGGGAGTAACCAACCACTCTGTGATTGGACCTAAGGCCTGCTCCATGACATGGAACCCTGTTATGTTACCTACCATGTTAGAGGGGCCAGGAACAAGTGGACATTTAAAAGAATGATAGTATTGGCTTATCCACTTGGAACTATTACGGCTTACTGAAATGTGTTCTTAATTGAACTATTCAATTAAGGAACAGTACAATAAAATAGAAGTCAATGCTGAGACTCTCTTGACCTGAACCAGTCTGCCCAGTCTGTTTGTGCCTGAGCTGAATTTAAACATCATTGATTGGAAAGATTGCAGATTCTAGAAGGTAAACGACTTTCACACACCTGAGACAGAGAGGAGACTTTCTAATCTAGAAGATATGAAGTTTGTCTTTAATAAGGGCAGGAGTCAGTATCGAGATGTCCTGTTACAATGTATAAAGACATTAGTTAAGATTTATTTTAATATTAAGTGTGAATGTTGCTAGAGTTCTTGAGATTTGAATTTTTTAATTCCCTCAGGACCCTACCATTCCAATTGTCCTAACCCCTGCCCATTTAAATTCTAAATTTTATATTCTATTCTCAGTTCAACTATAACAATGTACCCATTTTAGACATAAAATTCAGAATTTTTACCATGATAGACAAAAAAGAAAAAAAAAAACCACAACCAGAGGCTTCATCCTCAATTGACACTTCTGAGAAATACCCAGTCCAGCAAGAAATACAGGCATGCAGATAAACAACTACAATTTCTTTTTGTTTGTTTGTTTGTTTGTTTGTTTTGAGACAGGGTTTCTCTGTATAGCCCGGGATGTTCTGGAACTTGCTCTGTAGACCAGGCTGGCCTCAAACTCAGAGACCCACCTGCCTCTGCCTCCCGAGTGCCAGGATTAAAGGTGTGCACCCCCACCACCCAGCTGTACAATTTCTTGCTACAACAAAGGGGCCCCAGACAAATGCATATTAACCCAGGTTCCATGGGGAAGGAACCCAGGCTTGGCTTTCGAGGGGGCAGGAGATCACTAAGAAGAGACAAGGGAGTGAGCAGAGCATAGGGCTGGTCCAATCACAGAGAAAGCATGGCAAGGCATGATGTCTTAGTAACACTAGAAATTAGGGCACATGGGAGGTGGAGAGGGGGGGTACAAAAAGGACACAGAAAAGCCAAAAGGTCTAGCTATACTCAAGGCTTCAAGGCAAGGGAGAAGAGTGATAAAAATTTCCTCAAACACCCTGAGTCAAGGGTCAAGTAACATCTTTTTCTGACAAGAAATAATAAGGAAATGAACTAAATAATGACCAGGTAAATCTAGAGAATGATGATTATTCCGGGGATATTTAGTAAGTAAAATGTAAGTAAAATAAAAAAAGACTTGGAGATCCAGCTGGCTGTGTGAATACAGACACAAGCATCCGTCTTCCTACTTGGGCGACCGAATGGACATGGAGTGGAGAGGAGTTGAGTAAAGAAAGGAATGGAAGAGTTCTGAGGATGTTCAAGTTTAATGTGGTATGCCTGGACAGGAAGACGGAGACGCAGCACAGGACCATGGAGACAAGGAGGTAGTCTCAAGACGGTGAAAAGAACGAAGGTGGGGCTGGCAAGATGGCTCAGCGAATGAAGGTTAGTACAACTGTCAAGCCTGACAACCTGAGTTGGATCCCCAGGACACACAAGATGCAAGGAGAGAGCAGACACCCCCAAGTTGTCTCGGCCACACAAACACCAGGGCATGAGTACATACAATACACATATACACACTGGCACACACAAAATACATAAGTGTCATTTTAATTTTCTTTTTAACGAATGAAGGTAAAGGTTGAGAAGTCAGTGATTTACAGTGTTCGCTGAAGTCCAGGGGTTAGAAGAAATCACATACAAGAGATGTATCTTTATTTTCCCTTAGTAAGCACTGGCTGGGAACTAATGTAAGGTTTAACTCAAAAATGCCTATTGTCTCAAAGAGGCTGTACAATACTTTTCCCATAGAATCATCAGGAAAGCCAATAATGAGGCAGTGTTCTACTCACCATCATGAACTCCATTTCTGGAAGGGAAAGATGAGAAACAAGCCTGCCTGTTGCTCAGTCCATCCTGAATAGTGGACAACTGCTAAACTGAGCCCAAAGACAGCAGACACTCCTAAACAAAACCATGGCACATCACCCTTAGTTTATCACCAACATCCTCTGTCCCTTCATGGTGTGTGTGTGTGTGTGTGTGTGTGTGTGTGTGTGTGTGTGTGTGTGTGTGCGCGCGCGCGCGCGCGCGCGCGCGCGCAAATACCTGCCTACCTACCCATTAACTCTCCTGGCGCAGATCATTCCAAGAAAAGACACAGAATAAATTTTATTTTTAATGGTGAGAAGGCAAATGAGAAATCAAACCAGAGAAAGAGGGAGACATTACAAGAACCCAGGAGAAAAGCCTTCCTATCAGGCACTCACTCTAGGACATCCAAGTCCAAGCAGCTTCAAGTTTAAGTGTGTAAAGCATCAGGCAGGGTCCTGTGGTAGAAGGGGAAAGAGCAAACTGGTGTGGTTTTGTTTTTCAAGAGCCAATAGTGATGGAAGAGAGGCACTAGGCCAAAGTTGTAGAAAAACAAACATTCGCCCACTGTCAGACCCAGAGGAACCAGTGCCACCAAACATGGGAAATGATAAATAGCAGTCTTACAGGTCTTAACAGAAGTTTTCTAAGACACAAGGCTGTGAATGATTCCAGGGGTCCAGGAATGCGAAGGAGCAGTGTCTGGGAGCGCCAAATGTCTGCCTTGCCCTGAGCTCTTGGGCCTCATTCATTCATTAAGCAAAGTGGTCCTGCCTAGTTCCACTTCCCCACAAGACTGATGTTCCCAGGAAGAAAAACAACACCTGGAGACTGTTCCCCTCCCCTAACTTCGATTCTAAATAAAATGCTTGATTATCACTAAAGGAATCTTGAAAAACACAGAAATCTGAACTGCTGGATCTGGTTCAGCCTGTCTTCTAAAGTCTGAGAGAAGGTAGTGGATAGGGCCTCTCTGACTTGCCCTAAAGGTTTTTCAAGCTGTGGTATAATAAAGATGATTGAAATGCATAGCATGGCGACAGACACTTTCTTGGAAGGAAGTAACCATGAGGACAATGGCTCACTCATCAGATACAGCCAGACATACCTATAGGGTATGCCACGTAGGCCAAAATTGTCTGCTTTCTGTTTTGAAAGGGGAAAATAACTTTGAAAGATCTACTGAGAAAAGAAAAAACAGTGCTAGCAATATCCCAGGTGATGTCCTATCAGGGGCCAATTCCAGGTCACCTACAGAGTATCAGGAAGTGAGAACAGAAGACCAACAGGACCAGGCTCATGGTCCCTACCCCCAAACAAACCTACAATCTTACTAACAACACAGAGAAACATCACCTTCTTCTTTGGATAGTAAGAAAGCTATTATGGACCCAATTCTGCCATTTCAAAATCTAGTTCCTGTAACTTCCAAGGAAATATTCCATTGCAAAGGATCCAGGGTCCAGAGGGTGCTGTACAACAACCTTCAAGCATGCTCTTTTTAAAAAAAAGTAACATTTGTATTAATTCTTTAAGAATTGCCTACAAGGTATTTTGACCATATCCATCCCCAACTCCTGTTTAACTCCTCCCAGATCCACCCCACCTCACTACCCACTCCCAATTTGCGTCCTCTTTCTTCTCATTAATAATCCACCCAGTCTAGTTTCTGTGGCCCATACATACATGGGTGTGAGGGCATCCACTGGAGCATGGTTTGTAGGCAAGAAAACTGATTCTCTCTCACCTCAAAGTCATCTATTGTCAAAAGCATCTCAGGGGCAGAGCTCGGGTGCCACTCCCTCTTCCATGTTGGAACAGTGACTGGTTTAATCTTGTGCAGGTAACTAGAGCAGCTGAGAGCTCATGAATGCAGTGGTCCTGTCATGCCCAGAAGATACTGTTATGATTCAATCCTTCCTTACCTCTGGCTCTCAACTTCTTCCACCCTCTCTTCGAATATGGTCTGGGACCTCAGAGATAGAAGTGATGTAGACTCCGCATCTGTAGCTAAGCACTCCACAGACACTTATTCTCCGTGTGTTACCATTTGTGAGTTTCTGCCTTAATCTCCATCTACAACATAAAGAAATGCCTGTGGTGAGATCTAATATCTGCACTAGTGTCTGGGTATAGAGACACTAATCTAGAGATTAGTTGCATAGTACATTTAGTAATGATAAACATAATTAGGTTCACCCCCTATGGCCAGTGAGCTCCCCAACCATGGATTCTTGGTCTGACTTACAGAACCTGCATGCATTACTGCCTGTGCATCAGAGCTTAAAACCAACCAGAAAGTGGTTGCTTACCTCTATAACATCCATGCCACTATTACAGCCCTTGGCAAATCTTCTCCCGATGGTCACTACTGCAGTTCACAGGCTTCGCAGCTAGGCAAGACTACTCATGGTTTTTAGCACTTTTCAGTATTATGATAGCTGGTCAGCAGGAAGGAAGCTTCTTAAGCAGTCCAAAGTCATTTGTTCATGTCCTGTAACCAAAATGTTTGATTCTTGAGCAATAGGGTCTAACCACCAAGTTCTGATGGGCAAGAAAAAAAAAATCAATGACAATATCCTATATTATTTTGAGAGTCTTTGAGACACCTCTGACCAATCTGAAGAGGAAGTATCTCACACCAGGCACTGGGCTTTCTACTTGGCAACCCATGGCTTCTTGGAGAAGTTACCCCTGCGTAGGGTTAACTCCGATTAAACTCTCGTGTGTGTGTGTGTGTGTGTGTGTGTGTGTGTGTGTGTGTGTGTGTGTGTGTTGTTGCTGCTGTTGTTAAACAGCAGGTTTCCAAATACTTTTGCAAATATCCTTGGGGGAAAATAAAGGAGGGGGCATTAAAATGGCGAGAGGATTGGGAAGGTAGGAATAACTCTGAGTGCTTTCAGGATGAACCAGTGCAATCCTTCCTAAGCCAGCCATTTTTCTCTCACTGCAATCTCCCTCCTCAGAAGGTTACCATGAAAGCAGCAACAACTAGGCTTCAACTGGAACAGAGCAGTGATCAAAGCAATATAACCACCAACAAGAGGTAGATGTTTGATTGCAAAACATTCGAAGGTTAGGGAACCGGAGGGTTTGTTTCTATTGTTTTGATACCCAGTCTTGATCCAACCAATGAACATGTAGCTATTTGAATAAAGCCCTGGTCTAGTTTATGGGAGTGGAATTTGCCATCAGCATCACAAGCCTCCTCCACAGGAAGTACAGCAGCTATCTGCTTTCCAAAGGCTACGGAATCTTCCTTCCTTGAGAAGTTGCTGCTGTGTTTGCTGTTTGTCCTTAGCCCTCCTGAAATGATCACCACATAATAAGCACCCTTTCAATAAAAGAAGACAGAAGGAGGAAGAGGTTCCTTCAGACTCCTTAAGACCCTGGTGATGGAAGATGGAACATTAATGCCTGGTCAAGCATTTTTATCTTTCCATGAAAGAAAGATACTTGTGATTACAAGAAGGACTGTTAGAAAGAATGCAGCCTCTTGATTATTTCCAAATTCTCTGCTGATATGATAACAAATACCTTTTTTTTTCTCCAGTCCCATGGAGGGGAGTGGGGTGTCAGCGACAACAAAGGTACCATTATCTCTGGCAACATTTTCCTGGGTCCTGTTAATGATCACACTTGGAGTTACCTGATGCCCTAGGTTCTCACATCTCTGAACAAATATTACCTGGTAGCAAATATTAGTATCCCCAACTTTACATTCCAGAGAAGTCAAGAAACTTATCAGAAAGGTCAAATCTCAGCAAATGAGGCCAAAACCAGCCATAAAGAAACAGAGAGAGGGAAATTCCCCTATTTCCACAATTTCTCAGTTCCATCAGAAGGTATGAGCCTCCAGCTCCAGGTCTATGATCCCAAGCAATGGGAACTTACCCCCAGACCATCACTGCAATTCCATCCAGTAGTGATGAACTGGATTAGTAAAATTTGTAAGAACCAACTCCTAAAAGATACTCTGGGTCAGAGATTTTTTTTTAATCTAAGTTTGTTAAGTATATGGGATACATGACGAGATATAGTTTTTAAGTAGATGCATATTCACAGCAGTCTGAAGACGAAATTCTAGAGCCTTCCTGAATTCTCAGGGATCCATACCACCCTCCCCACTACAAGTACCAGTGGTTCTCACAAGGGAACTCACATAAGATATACATATCCAGGGGCTAGAGAGATGGCTCAGTGGCTAAGCACATGGCTGTTCTGGTAGAGAACCTGGGTTCAATTCCTACCACCCATATGGTGACTTACAACAAACTATAACTTGAGTCCCTAAGGACCTGATGCTCCAAAGGCTACAACTAGGCTGACTGAACTAGAAAATGGCAGGTAGTCAGGATATGCTCATTGATGCTCATCCATGTTCATGCATTCTTGCACTCAGATTTAGACTTGGGCTATACTGCTCAAGCTAGTCTCAAAATCCTAACCTGAGTGACTCTCTTGGCCCTAGGGGAACTAAAAGCACCTGCCACCACACCAACTTTAGACGTAACAACACAAGGCTCTTAAACAATTGTATTATAATATGTATTATATAGCTAGGTTTAAGAAACACTACAGCTTCAAGGGGTCTTTTATTAGTCACTAAACTTTAAACTCAAAAGAAATGTTATACCAGAAATACTAGATAAAATAAAAATATCCAGGGCTAGGAGTACAGCTCCATGAGAGACTGCTTGCCTAACATGTATGAGGCCCTGGGTTCTATCCCAGGTAAAGGGAGGGAGGGAAGGAGGGAGGGAAGGAGGGAAGGAGAAGACCCAGAGTTCTTGAACACCCTGATAGCATCCAACAACCTGCTGGAAACAAAGCCCAAAACTGATTGCTTTACTTTATTTTAAATCACATTTTTAGTTAGCAAAACCATAAAATCTGGTCAGCAATCTTCTTCTCATTCCTTTAGAATTTCACCACACTCTGTAGCTTATTGGCAAAAACCTACCTCTATCTGAATAGATTATAGTTAATATAGCAGATTTAAAAAATTACAGTGGAGAGACTAACAGAAGAGCCACACCCACAGAGATACCCCACAGTGGGTAGTAGACTGTGAAAAATGGACAGTGAGAACTGGCTGGCCCTTCCACAAACAGCAGAAGTTCCTGATTATCCACAATATTTGTTATACCTCTCAATAAAGCGACTCCATTACATTTTGATTAGCAAAACGAACTAGCCTATGATTGCCACCACAAAGGGGTGTCAACAGTCAAGGTGTCTCTTTGCTTCAGGGAGGGATTTGTCCCAAACCAGGAAGGGTGGGCCCTTTAACAGCAGATCACATAACATATATTTATGTGAACCAAAAGGCTTTTAAAGTGCACTGAGTTGAAGAGAAGAAAAGTAAAGGGGGCGGTGACTTTTTCCGTGTTGGATTTCACAATTAGTTTACATCCGAACCCACCTGGCTCTTCTCAGTAGCTTTCCAGTAGCTTAGATAAATCCTACTGATCTCTTCATGAAGAAGTCTCCAAGAGAAGTCAGCTGAACCACAAGGACAGCACTCCAGGTGTTGAAAAGTATCTGCAGCTACTGTGTGGCAGGGTTCAGGGACAACTTCCTTCAGGGACACGGAAGGAGTCAGGGAGGGGAAGGAACTCATTTCATTAAGGATTTGGGCAAGTAAGTAGTATGGTCAGTTAACACTGACGGGTTAGGACATACTAACAACTACTCTGAAGTTCTTTTATATACTGCAGTGTCTCTGAAACTTCTCATAGAGCCCAGGGCAACATCCTTTTTTTTTTTTTTTTTTTTTAGTATTTTATTTTTTAATAGCAATAAAAGAGATCTGCTGTTCTCTTCCCAAGGGCAACATCTTAAACAGAACAAAGACTGATAGATGAAAAGGCTAGCATTCCAGAACATCAGAGCTCCAAAGAACATGTCTATTTCCAACAGTGAGAACCTGAGCATTTGAATATAGCTCCATACAAAACCCAAGTCATTTAATCAAGCAATGGCCTGTTCTCTTGTTCTGTGGTGGCTCTCTATTATGTCTGCTAGAGGAAGTGTTCCCTAGTCACGGCTGGCCTGGAGATATAATGTATCAGTGTGAAACAAATGAGTGGCCAGAGAAGAAGCCACTATAAAGGAAACAGCACAGTTTTACAATTACTCTTACATCTCACTTTCTGTTTTATGAAGCATTCACTCTGTGAAGACAGGAAGCTATATCTGTTCATTGCTATTGCCAATAAGCCCAGGATAACTTTTAGGAGAGAAGTAGCCAAGAATACGTATTGAATTTGTGATATAAAATTAACAGATTCAATACCAAGAAACAACAGAGCACTGTGCTAGGTCCTAGAGACCGAAACCCAGACATCTTTCTGTTTACCAGGACATAGTCCTCACTCTCATCTTTGGTAATTGTGGACATGATTTACCCAGTCTGAGGCTTTTCTGCTAAGAAAGTTTTTCATACTTTATATTAAATTTCCTAAAAGCATAATTATACATACTCTATAAAGAATGCTCATGAGCTGGAGGTGTAGCTCAGTGTCTGTCTAGCGTGCACAATGTCCTGAGTTCAATATCCAGCACCAGTACCAAACCGACATGGTAGTGCACACGGGCGATCCTAACACTTGGAAGAAGGCTCACTACTACCCTCTATGCACTACATCTTGAATGCTGGGCAAGAGACCCTGTGCCAAAATGTATTTGCCCACAGGCAACAACGCTATGTTCTAAGAGCACACATACACTAAGATCTCTTCAGCATCAGGTGTACCAGCCTGAATGAACTACTACTAAGGTTATTAAGATTTTTCCTTCAGACATACCTTGTCCTCGATATTCAATCCTCTGAGGCAGAATCCCAGCACTCAGGGGGCCAAGGCAGGAGGATGGCCATGAATTTGATAGCACCCTGAACTCCATGGTAAGTTTTAGGCCAGCCTGGGCTCAAGAGTAAAAACTCTGTCTCAAATTCAAATAATGTGTGTGTGTGTGTGTGTGTGTGTGTGTGTGTGTGTGTGTGTGTGTGTGTATGTGTGTGTGTGTGTGCGCGCGCACACACGTGCATTTTACCAATCATACAGGAACTTGAAGAATCATTCCTATGTATTTCCATACCAGATGGTAGGTAGGGGATTCTTAAGATTCTCAAAACTCAGAATTCAAAGCTGGCCTTCAAGTTTCATATAAAAGTACAGTTGTATGCATAACAGGATTTTTGTGTACACTTTATTTGGCAGTTCTTTAGTTTATCAATTTTTCATCATGCAAATATGTATATTTGTATCTCCATTTACATTCTGGCTATGGGTAACACAAATATTAGGGCTGTCTTACAGGGAAACTGAGTTTCATGACAGGTAGCCAACTTGCCTGATAGAACTGGGCCCACTAATTGGAAAATCCAGACCCCAAATCAGCACGTGACAAACCTCTCCCTCACCATTACATTAGTTTGTAATTTGTAGTTTGTAATTACTTTGTACATTACGTTAGTGCATGTCCTTGTGT